GCTCACTCACCCGTCGCTTCTGTGGCACCACCACCTAGGTCACCCCGCACTCCCGCATCTGCGTCACATGTCTCATCACAGTCTTGTCCTAGGTCTCCCTGCGTCGCTCCTTACCCTCCCTCCCTCGCCTGCACCACCATGCACGCCATGCGTCGAGGGCCAGCTGCGCCATGCTCCTCACTCCTCCTTGCTTCGCCCTGCCACCGTTCCACTCCAGACCCTGCACCTGGAAGTTTGTGGCCCAGCCCCCGTCCCTGGGCCGCGTCGAGAGCGCTACTTTCTATTGCTTGTCGATAACTACACACGCTACACCATGGTGTTTCCCCTAGAGCGGAAGGCCGACGTGCCTAACGTTCTTATCCCGTGGGTCGTAGCTGCGCGCGTCCACCGCGGTCTCCCCGTGTTGTGTCTCCACTCCGACCGTGGTGGCGAGCTTGCCTCCGGTCGGCTTGAACAGTTCTATCGTGCGGAGGGCATCACCCAGTCGTACACCCTACCTGACTCCCCGCAGCAGAATGGGGTTGCTGAGCGACGCATCGGTTTGGTCATGGAGGTGGCTCGTACCTCCATGATCCATACCGGTGCACCACATTTTCTGTGGTCCTTCGCTGTTCGCTACGCCGCTCACCAGCTTAACCTGTGGCCACACTCCCAGCGGCCGCAGGTTTCGCCGACCCTTCTCTGGACTGGGTTATCTGGTGACGCGTCCGCATTCCACGTCTGGGGTTGCCTTGCTTACGTTCGTGCCTCTGGCAGGGACAAGCACACTGCCCGCACTGTCCCCTGTGTCTTCCTTGGTTTCCCCCTTGACTCGTCTAACTAGCACTTTTACCGCCCGCCGTCTCACCGCTTCTTTCACTCGCGTGACGACACCTTCGACGAGTCTGTCTCCTTCTACCACCGCTTTCCCCACTGAGGTCTCCCTGTTTCCCCACCCCTGTTTCTGGTTCCCACTCCTCTGGTAGCCCCTGGTCCCCTTCCCCCCCTGTCTTGCTCCGTCTGGTGTGTCTCACGTCACTCCCCTTGCGTCGGTTGTCCCGGTCGAGGAGTCGGCTGACTGTGGTGGCCCTGTGGTGCAGTTCTCGCTGTTTGTTTCTCCCTTGGTGTCTCCTCCTTTGCCGTCACAGCAGCCGCCGCCATCGCCGCCGCAGTAGCAGCTGGAGCCGTCGTCGCAGCCGCAGCAGCAGCAGCCGCCGCCGCCGCAGCAGCAGCCGTCCGTGGGCTCTGGGGGTGCGGGGGTTGAGGAGAGTGCTAGTCCTGGGGTTCCTGTCGTGGCTCGTCCCGGCGGTGCTAGAGAGGGTTCTCGTTCTGGGGTTGCTGGAGTGTAGCGTCCCGGAGGTAGTCGTAGTGCAACTGGAGGTTCTGGTGTCGGCGTGGAGTAGCAGCAGCTGCAATCACCGCCGGTGTCCGCCCTTCGCCTGCTCGGCCTTCCCTCCCCTGACCACCCGCCTGCGCCTACCCTACCGCTGCCTCCCCTACCTGTCTACGGCCCTGTGTTCCTCCATCGGACTAGTCTCTGGCTCGTTTCCCCCCTCCTTCTCCTCCTGTGACTCCTCCTGTGTCTCCTGACCCGACGCCTCCGTCCCACTTTTGGTCTCATCGTCCCTCTCGTGCTCGTCCTGTCTCCCTTGTCCAGCCCTCTCCCCTGATGTTGCTTCGTTCCCATGCGTCACGTCCTCCCCTCCCCCCTTCACCTCCTCGTCGTCGCTTATTGTCGCTCCGGCTCCTCTTTCTGACTACCTTTGTGCCGCTAGTCCTCTTGTTCCTTGGGTCCTTGCCTCCCTCGGCACCGACCCATCTGTTCCTGTTTCGAGTCTTGACACTCTTGTTGCTGCTCTCACTGACTTCGCCTCTACCCGCCGCCTTAGCTATGCTACAGCTTTGGTCTCTGACTTTGCTCGTCCTCTGTCCATCAAGGGTGCACCTGCCCTTGGCGATGACGTCTTAGAGGATAGGTAATTTGAGCTAGCTTTCCTGTCTGAGGCCGCGCCTCATCTCTGCTCCATGCTGCTAGTCCCTGAGGGGGACCCAGGCACCTTTGACACCCCGACCCCTCGCACTTATGTTGAGGCGACCTCGGGACTCTGGGCCTCTCAGTGGATAGCTGCCATGGACGCGGAGATGGCATCTTTGAGATCCACTGGCACCTACGTCGACGCATTTCCCCCACCTTAGGTGAACGTAGTCGATGGCCAATGGCTCTTCAAGGTGAAGTGCCCTCCTGGAGAGCCGCCTGTGTTCCAGGCGCGCTACATGGCTTGATGCTTCAGTCAGCGCGAGGGTGTGCACTTCTTCCAGACCTTTGCCTCGACCCCGAAGATGACTGCTCTTCGGGTGCTGCTACATGTAGCAGCACAGCGAGACTACGAGCTGCACTTTTCTCGATAACTTTTCTTCAGGGCAGTTTGCACGAGCAGGTCTACCTGCGTCGTCCACCAGGCTTTACCGGCACCTTCGCCCCGAAGACCCAGTGGCTCTTTCGGTGCCCAGTTTACGGCCTGCGGCAGGCACCGCGCGAGTGGCACGACACATTGCATGCTACGTTAGCTGACATGCAGTTATTCCCATCGTCTGCACACCCTTCACTTTACGTTCATGCTGGTCATACCCCATTCTACATCTTAGTCTACATAGACGACCTGGTCTTTGCTACTGCAGACAGAGACGCACTGGCCTTTGTGAAGGCAAGGCTGCTAAGAAGACACACCTACATAGACCTATGAGAGTTGCGCCGCTACCTTGGCCTTCAGATCTCCAGGGAAAGTTCAGCGCGCACCATCACTCTCACACAGTTACACTTGGTGCTCCGGGTCCTTCAGAGGTTCGGCCTTCAGTGCTCCTCCGCACCGCCCACACCTCTGCCAGTAGACCACAGGCTCTTCGCTCCAATCCTTGAGGAGTCTGTAGAGCCTAGTGGTCCTTACGCAGAGCTGGTGGGTTGCCTCATGTACCTGATGACTTGCACTCGTCCAGATCTTGCATACCCTCTCAACATCCTGTCTCGCTTTGTGGCCACACGCAGACACTGACCACAGCACTGGTCGGCAGCTAAGAGGGTTTTGCGTTATCTAGCAAGTACATCGGGCATGGGGCTAGTGCTAGGAGGACGCTATCCAGTGGTCCTTACAGGGCACATGGACGCTTCGTGGGCGTTCGACGCTGAGACACTCAGGTCCTCCCAGGGCTACTGCTTTAGCCTGGGTGCAGTCGCCATCCCGTGGAGGTCCACCCGCTCGTCGTCTGTTGCCCAGTCGAGCTGCGAGGCCGAGATTTACGCTGGTGCCATAGCGGCACAGGAGCTTCGCTGGCTGACTTTCTTGCTCACAGTCTTATGTGAGCGGCCTAGCTTTGCCCCGGTCGTGTACGCTGACAAGAGGGTCATGATCCTCCTGTGTCAGGAGACTCGACTGGAGGGCAGAGCGAAGCACATCTAGCTGCGGTACTTCCTCCTGTGCGAGCTACATCAACGCCGCCAGGCCCGCGTAGTACACTTGGCCTCAGGTGCCAACACAGCTGATTTTTTTTTTAGAAGGCACTTGATCCTAAAGATCATCAGTGGCACTGTGTACAGCTTGGTCTAGTTCCTGTAGCTTCTCACTTGCCAAGTCCCTGACTATGTACTACTACTAATATTGTCTTGACTGGCCTTGTGGCTCTTGTTCCACTGGTTGGACTAGTAGTGCCGCCTTGGGTTACACTTGTTTAGTTGGTTCTCTTGCTGACTGGTCTTTAGACCCTTGCCTCCCTGAGTAGTGCCACCCTGAGCTGCGTGTCTCTTGCCAGTCGCTGCTGTTAAAGTAGCTCTAGGCTAGGATACTAGGTAGGAACACGGCCGCCATGAATGTGGCGGCGGGGTTTAGGTAGGAGCTGGACGAGAGTGTCGAGAGAGAAGAGGGAATTGGATTAGGAAGAGAGGGGAGTACAAGGAGGGGTTTGTACCCCCTACAGAAACGTTCAGTAACAACCTACCAAGCCTATATTAAATTATAACTTATATAATTTGAACACACCCCCTAGGCTTGGTAGTGTCAAGCCCTCTCACACCCCCACACCCACACCCACACCCACACCCACACCCCCTAGCCCAGCACCCCCATTCCCAGCAGGAGCCGCAACGACTCCGGAAGTGGGCAGCTCCCACGGCCCTTGGGACGGCAATGGCGGCAGCAGTGACGGTGACGACAGCGGCGGCGGCGGCGGCGTGCGGCGGCGGCGGCGTGCGGCGGCGCCCGGCCCGCGGCAACAGCGGCGGCAGCGGCGGCAGCGGCGGCAGCGGCGGCATGAACGTCAGAGGCTGGTGCAGCGGCCCCCGCCCTCTCGGCGGCATGTCCAGTCCCTCGGCAGTGGGGAGGGCCCTCAAGAGGCAGTCGTTGGCTGCAGCAAGGAAGGGGGGGGAAGCAGGGGGAAGCAGGGGAAGGAGGGGGGAGGAGGGGGGGGGGGAGAGGGGCGCGGGGCGTAGTCCAGAATCACGTCGGCGGCTGCAGGGCGGGCGGCAGGTCCGGCGGCACCATTGACGATGCGCGGCCGGCTGTCGCCCGATGACGCCGCCAAGGCAGTCTTACGACGCCGCCAGGCCGACGACGCACCACGGAAGCTCGGCGGCGCCACCACGGCGCCGCATCGTCGCTGCGGCTGCTCGGCGACACTGAGACGGCGGCACTTAAAAAGAAGCCGTCGCGGCATCTCGGAGAAGCTGCCACGGCGGTAGGAAGTTGGAAGGCAGTGATCGAGTACGCAGCGGAAGCACGGAGGGGAGCAGGCCCAGGGAGGGCGTCCTGCTCTCGATACCATGTTAAAGTAGCTCTAGGCTAGGATACTAGGTAGGAACACGGCCGCCATGAATGTGGCGGCGGGGTTTAGGTAGGAGCTGGACGAGAGTGTCGAGAGAGAAGAGGGAATTGGATTAGGAAGAGAGGGGAGTACAAGGAGGGGTTTGTACCCCCTACAGAAACGTTCAGTAACAACCTACCAAGCCTATATTAAATTATAACTTATATAATTTGAACAGCTGCCCCTTGTCAAACCTAGGGGGTGTGTCAACATATCATTCGTATATGTTATAGGCTAGCTAGGTGCATGCTCATATAGAGTACAACCCCTTAGGTTACATCCCCTTGTATGACCTCATTCTAACCAATCCGTTCTATGCTAAGAGTTGCCTGCACAAGGCACTGGAGCTAATCCATTAGCTATCACCCCCCTTTCAAAAGCACCCTCTTCATCTCCATAAAAGCAGGAAAAGAAATATGCACCTAAAAAGTATGCGCCTACAAAATCTTAGGTATCTGTTAACTGTCACCACCTTCGAAAGCACCCAGCTCTTTCATTTCCTCCATAAAAGCTGAGTAAGAGTCATCAATACTCGGTGGTTTCCTCGCCGCAGCAGCAGCTGCAGGGGTAGCGGCAGCAGTGACAGGACGAGCAGCAGCAGCTGTCGCCTTTGCCTTTGGCTTCAATAGGGCCTCTTGCCTCCTCACTCTCACAGACGCTGGGACCTGAAAGTTAGGCAGAAAAGAGAAAGGGCCAAGCAGTGAGATCAAGGGCCAAGATAACAAGGAGCCTAAAAGCAGTGGCCAGTCGAGCAGCAGCGGCCTTTGCCTTAAGCCTCACTAGTGCGTCTTGGCTTCAAACGCGCACAGATCCCGAGACCTGAAAGCTACTAAGGAGCAAAAGAGTAACGAAGCACGGAAACGATTTGCTCCGTGCACAGCAGGCGTTGGGTCGCCGTTTCAAAATCCTTGAAGATTACCTGGCTTCACGAACGGCTGCCAGGAGTTACAAGCTGGCGCGAGTCGTTCTTCGTCCAGTCAACGGCACACATGCGTATTATTTTTGTCACCCTGACACATAATGAAGCTGCGGTTCAAGACGCAAAAAACATTCCGGCTCTTCATGCCAGAATTCAGAACTGCCTACACTTGAGTACAGGCACGAAAACCACCCCGTGATTCTCACACAAAAAATTGGAAGATTTTCGGCTTCATGAACACTAGCTTTGATCTGCGTCTTCGTCAGAAAGCAATACACACGTATCACCGTGACTGGACGAATGACGGCGCGCGTTACCTCGTAAACCTGTGCAGCCGCTCGTGAAACTGGGTAATCTCCAAGGCTTTCAATACCTTCATGCACGTGTAAATCGCACGTTTCACAGAAAGCACGTGCACGCATACCACCCTCCACCTTGCACCCTTCCACATACACACTTACACACACGCATGCGCTCCTCGTGGCGTTCCTCACACCATCGTGGTTAATTCAGGTGTGTGTTGTGCCAGTGGCTGTTACACCACCATAGCAGCATCCCCCTTCACATACGCAGGAATAGCAGGTTGCACAAGAGAGCACGCACACGCTGCCCCCCCCTTTCCCACCCTAAATCCACACCCCTCTCCTTAACGCACACACGTGCCCATATTCCTCTCACCATAGCCGTTAGTTCCTGTATGTGTTGTGCCAGTGGCCGTTTCACCACCATAGGTGCTGCAACATTCTATACGCTACTGTCGCAGCATTGCTCACACATGCACATGCACATGCACATGCACACTAGGACTTGCACACACAGAGAGTTCCTCTCACCATAGCTGTTAGTTCCGGTGTGTGTTGTGCCAGTGGCCGTTTCACCACCATAGGTGCTGCAACCTTTACATACGCTGGAGTAGCCTTCCCCTCCGCCCCTCCCCCCACTCCTCCCCTCCCCCTCCTTCTCCCCCTCCTATTCCCCCCCTCCTGCTGCTCCCGATTCCATTCCTCTCCCTTCTCCTCCCCCCATCCCCCCACCCACACCTGCAAGCGCTGCTGCAGGGGGTGGGCCAGGGGGGGGTCTCATACCAGAAGGAGGGGGAGGGGGAAGTCCACCCCCAGGTCCCCCCCCCATGCCCACAGGCGGACGGCCAGGGGGAGGGCCAGGGGGAGGGCGCATGCCTGGGGGAAGGTGGGTGGGGGGAGCTAGGGCGCCTGGGGGAGCACCAGGGGCGGGGGAAGCGTGGGATGGGGGGAGGAGGTGAGCAGGGGGAGGGCCGGGGGGAGGGTGCATGGACGGGGGAGCGGATCCCGTAGGTCTGGGGGGAGGGCCGGGGGGAATTCCCCCCATGGGGCGGGGCGGAGGGGGAGGGGGGCGGAGGCCAGGGGGAGCGCCTGGGGGGCCGACAGGCGGGGGGAAAAGAGGCGGGCGCATGCCTGGGGGTGAGTGGGGGGAGCGGAAGGGGGAGCTCCAGGGGCAGTGCGGGGGGGAGGGGGAGGGGGGACACCAGGAGGACGAGTGGAGGGGGCGGATTCGGGGGGAGCGGATCCCAAGGGGAGGTGGTGACGGGGAGGGGGAGGGGGGGGGATTCTTCTCCCCTCAGCACTACCAACAGCCCCAGCATCAGAACCAGCAGCACCAGGAGAACCACCAGCAGCAGCAGCAGCAGCAGCAGCAGACGGTGCAGTGGGCTCAACGCCAGGGGGCATGGCGTCCTCCTCCTCTTCTCCCCCCCCCTCCCCGCCCCTCCCTTCCCCAGCACCAGGCCGAGGGGGAGGGGGAGGGGGGCGCATGCCAGGGGGAAAGCCAGCGCGAGGGGGAGGAGGGGGAGGCTGTTGCAGGTGGGGAGGGAAGGAATGGGTGGGGAAATTCGGGGGAGCCATGCCAGGGGGGCCAGGGGGCGGGGGGGGAGCAGGGACGGGTATGGGGAGGGGCATGGGGACCCCTGGGGGAAGGTTGTGCGCGCCCGGAAGAGGGGGAGGGGGAGGGGGAGGAGGAAGGGGAAGCATTCCCCCTGCTGCTGCCCCTGCTGCTGAATCCATACTGTGTTTCCCACCCTCTCTCTCCTCCTCTTCCTCCTCTTCCTCGTCCTCGTCGTCCTCCTCCTCATCTTCTTCCATCGAATCCTCCTCCTCCTCCTCCTCCCCCTCCTCCTCGTCCACTTCCCCATCTGCGGTGGTGTCTGCTGACCTCGCTGCAAAAAATGAGAGAGAGAGGGGTGGGGAGAGGGAGGGAGGATTGGGGGGGAGAGAGTGAGAAAGAGAAAACACACAGCTGACAAAATATTACAAGGTAGAAGGAATGAGTGGAAATTTGGGGGTTCACGTGGGGCAGCAGAGAGTGGACTAACGGGGGGGAGTGGTGCGGCAGAGTGTGGACTAATGTGGGGGAGTGGGGCAGCGGAGTGTGGACTAATGTGGGGGAGTGGGGCAGCAGAGTGTGAAATAATGGGGGGAAGTGGGGCGGCAGAGTGGAATAATGGGGGGAAGTGCGACATGCGTGCTTACAGAGTGAGGGGCGGTACATGGGCGCTTTGCCTGGGGGAGGCTGGCCTGAGGGGTTTAGTGTAGGATGATAGTACACTGAATCCTGCCAGGCGGAAGAAGTTTAGCGGGATAGGAGGAAAAAACTTAAGACGCACTCTCCGTAGGGGAGGCTGGCCCCAGGGGTTTAGGGTTGGACAATAGTACACAGAATCCTAGCTGGTAGGGAGGAGAGGTTTAACGGGATAGGAGGAAATATCTTAAGATGCACTCTCCAGAGGGGAGGCTGACCCCAAGGGTTTAGGGTTGGATGGTAGTAAACAGAATCCTGCAGGGAGGAGAGGTGGGGAGTGTGGGGATGATCAGGATTCTCAGAACCGCTTTGCCTGGGAGAGGCTGGCCCGAGGGGTTTAGGGTTGGGTGGTAGTACACCGAATCTTGCCGAGGAGAGGTGGGGAGTGTGGGGATACTCAGAACCCTCAGAACAAATCTCCCATGGGGGTCAACCTGATAGATTTAGGGTTGGATGGTAGTGGATAGAGTCCTGCCACGGAGGAGAGTGGAAAGTGTGGCGATAATCAGAACCCTCAAAACCGCCTTCCCTGGAGGGCCGCCCTGATGGGTTTAAAGCTGGATGGTGATTCAACACAGGATCGACCCAGGGAGGAATTTGGGATTTCAAAATATTGGGATGAGGGAAAATAGCAAGCTTTGCAGTGTACCATGCCTGCCTGCCTGCCTGGGTGGGTGGGTGGGTGAAAGTGTAACGGATCAGGTATCCATTTTGCATATAGAAATGCCAGCGTGTGGAGTGATATGCTTGCTGTGGGTGTCGAGGTCGAGGAGACTTGAAACACTTGGCCTAAATGCACCTCTTTTGGACGGCATGAGCACTTGAACTGGTGTGATGCAACTCTAGCACCTGTCCCGCGCACCTGTCCTGCGCACTTGTCCCACGCAGGCACCTTTGTGGCGAAGGTGTGGTATTATTGGCGGACTTACGGCAATCCGTGAGGCAGACACACCCTAGCCTAAACGCTACCCCCCCCACCCCACCCCACCCATCCTACCACACCACACCCCACCCCACCCCACCCCACACCCCCCCACCCCACCCCCAAACTCCCTCCCCCCCCCGGCCCACCTTCAAACTCCCTCCCCCCCCCCGCCCTCAACATGCACACCTAGAGCCTGAACACACACGCACCTCTGGGCGAAGGTTCCTGATGGCTTCGTTGGCTGACTTTCGGGGCGCGGTTAGGTGGCTGGTGGGGGGAAAGGGGCAAAGAACGGGAGAGGGTTGCGAAGGGGACGAGGGAGAGGGGGGGGGGAGAGAAGGGCAGGGGACAGAGGAGAAGGGCAGGGGGCAGAGGGGGAGGGTAGCAGTGAGGCGGCTGGTGAGGATACAGAGGTCCGTCTTCTTCACTCTCTCCCAACACCTTCCCCTTTGGTGGGGAGGATGAGGGGATCCCAGGGATAGAGTGAGGGGGAAAGTAAATAGAAAAGCGGAAAACGGGTATGGGGAGATGGGGGTGGGGGGGGAAAGCGGGGAAGGGGGAAGGGGGAAGGGGGACAGGGTCACAGGGGAAGGGTAAGGTGTGAGTGGGGGAGCGAGCCATGGTGCCCGAACTTGATTGGACAAGTAAAATGGTTTGGAAACAAGTGGTAAAAAAAAACAAAAACAAAAACAAAAAAAACAAACAAACAAACAAAAAACAAGAGACACAGTGGCACTCATGCCAGCTTCTGCCCAGTGTAACTATCGCTGCAACGAGGAGGAATTGTCTTGTGTTGAGGCAGCTTGTAAAGGGTACAGACAAGGGGTAGAAGTTTCTGACCAAGGGTCACCTGAACATGACTGGGTCCTCGCCGCGCTCCCTCATTTTCTGCTCAAACTCCTGCTCGCACAACGGAGCGAGAGACGGGGGTTGGAGGGAGCGGGGGAGGAAGGGAGGGGAGGGTGGGGTGGGCGTGAGAGAGAAACGGAGGTGGAGCAAGAATGGGAGGGGGGTGGGGTGGGGGGAGTGGGGGAAAGGGAGAGGTGACTTTTGAGTGGGGGGAGTGAGGGAAAGGGAGAGGTGACTTTTGAGTGGGGGGAGTGAGGGAAAGGGAGAGGTGACTTTTGAGTGGGGGGAGTGAGGGAAAGGGAGAGGTGACTTTTGAGTGGGGGGAGTGAGGGAAAGGGAGAGGTGACTTTTGAGTGGGGGGAGTGAGGGAAAGGGAGAGGTGACTTTTGAGTGGGGGGAGTGAGGGAAAGGGAGAGGTGACTTTTGAGTGGGGGGAGTGGGGAAAGGGAGAGGTGACTTTTGAGTGGGGGGAGTGAGGGAAAGGGAGAGGTGACTTTTGAGTGGGGGGAGTGAGGGAAAGGGAGAGGTGACTTTTGAGTGGGGGGAGTGAGGGAAAGGGAGAGGTGACTTTTGAGTGGGGGGAGTGAGGGAAAGGGAGAGGTGACTTTTGAGTGGGGGGAGTGAGGGAAAGGGAGAGGTGACTTTTGAGTGGGGGGAGTGAGGGAAAGGGAGAGGTGACTTTTGAGTGGGGGGAGTGAGGGAAAGGGAGAGGTGACTTTTGAGTGGGGGGAGTGAGGGAAAGGGAGAGGTGACTTTTGAGTGGGGGGAGTGAGGGAAAGGGAGAGGTGACTTTTGAGTGGGGGAGTGAGGGAAAGGGAGAGGTGACTTTTGAGTGGGGGGAGTGGGGGAAAGGGAGAGGTGACTTTTGAGTGGGGGGAGTGGGGGAAAGGGAGAGGTGACTTTTGAGTGGGGGGAGTGAGGGAAAGGGAGAGGTGACTTTTGAGTGGGGGGAGTGAGGGAAAGGGAGAGGTGACTTTTGAGTGGGGGGAGTGAGGGAAAGGGAGAGGTGACTTTTGAGTGGGGGGAGTGAGGGAAAGGGAGAGGTGACTTTTGAGTGGGGGGAGTGAGGGAAAGGGAGAGGTGACTTTTGAGTGGGGGGAGTGAGGGAACGGGAGAGGTGACTTTTGAGTGGGGGGAGTGAGGGAACGGGAGAGGTGACTTTTGAGTGGGGGGAGTGAGGGAACGGGAGAGGGGGGGGAGTGAGGGAACGGGAGAGGGGGGGAGTGAGGGAACGGGAGAGGGGGAAGGGAGAGGGGGAACGGGAGAGGGGGAACGGGAGAGGGGGAACGGGAGAGGGGAACGGGAGAGGGGAACGGGAGAGGGGGAACGGGAGAGGGGGAGGGAGGGGAACGGGAGGGAACGGGAGAGGGGGAACGGGAGAGGGGAACGGGAGAGGGGGAACGGGAGAGGGGGAACGGGAGAGGGGGAACGGGAGAGGGGGAACGGGAGAGGGGGAACGGGAGAGGGGGAACGGGAGAGGGGGAACGGGAGAGGGGGAACGGGAGAGGGGGGGGGAACGGGGAGAGGGGGAACGGGAGAGGGGGGAACGGGAGAGGGGGAACGGAGAGGGGGAACGGGAGAGGGGGAACGGGAGAGGGGAACGGGAGAGGGGGAACGGGAGAGGGGGAACGGGAGAGGGGAACGGGAGAGGGGGAACGGAGAGGGGGAACGGGAGAGGGGGAACGGGAGAGGGGGAACGGGAGAGGGGGAACGGGAGAGGGGGAACGGGAGAGGGGGAACGGGAGAGGGGGAACGGGAGAGGGGAACGGGAGAGGGGGAACGGGAGAGGGGAACGGGAGAGGGGGAACGGGAGAGGGGGGGGAACGGGAGAGGGGGAACGGGAGAGGGGAACGGGAGAGGGGAACGGGAGAGGGGGAACGGGGAGAGGGGGAACGGGAGAGGGGGAACGGGAGAGGGGGAACGGGAGAGGGGGGAACGGGAGAGGGGGAACGGGAGAGGGGAACGGGAGAGGGGAACGGGAGAGGGGGAACGGGAGAGGGGGAACGGGAGAGGGGGAACGGAGAGGGGAACGGGAGAGGGGGAACGGGAGAGGGGGAACGGGAGAGGGGGAACGGGAGAGGGGAACGGGAGAGGGGGAACGGGGAGAGGGGGAACGGGAGAGGGGGAACGGGAGAGGGGGGAACGGGAGAGGGGGAACGGGAGAGGGGAACGGGAGGAGGGGGGAACGGGAGAGGGGGAACGGAGAGGGGGAACGGGGAGAGGGGAACGGAGAGGGGGAACGGGAGAGGGGGAACGGGAGAGGGGGGAACGGGAGAGGGGGAACGGGAGAGGGGGAACGGGAGAGGGGGAACGGGAGAGGGGGAACGGGAGAGGGGGAACGGAGAGGGGGAACGGGAGAGGGGGAACGGGAGAGGGGAGGGGAACGGGAGAGGGGGAACGGGAGAGGGGGAACGGGAGAGGGGGAACGGGAGAGGGGACGGGAGAGGGGAACGGGAGAGGGGAACGGGAGAGGGGGAACGGGAGAGGGGGAACGGGAGAGGGGGGAACGGGGAGAGGGGGAACGGGAGAGGGGAACGGGAGAGGGGAACGGGAGAGGGGGAACGGGAGAGGGGGGATTGATGGAAAATCAAGCAGGTGAGGTAACTGCAAGCGCGACCTTGCATTCTCTCTCTAATTTTCAATCGAATCAAATCAAATCCTCGCCTCCCTCCCTTTCTCACCCCTCTCCTCCCTCTCCTCCTCACCCGTCCCACCCACCGCCTCACCTTCAAATAAGCCCCACCCTTGCGTTTCTTCAGCACCAGCTGTAGCCGACCCTCCAGCTGCCTCAGCTTGTGCTTGCCCTACCATTGCTACCCCGCCCTTGCAGCCTACCCGGCCCTACCACCTCACCTTCCTCTCCACCTCACCTTCCCCATCCCCCCACCGCCTCACATTCCCCCATCCCCCCACCGCCTCACATTCCTCCAGCTCCCCAGCGCCTCACTTTGCGTTTCTTCAGCACCAGCTGCAGCCGATCCTCCAGCTGCCGCAGCTTGTGCTTTCGGGTCTTCTCCATGGGGCCCTCCGACGCTGCTTCCGTGCACACGGTTGGCGATGCACACACGTCATACATAGCACACCACACACCGCACACCACACGCCACACGCCACACACCACACGCCACACGCCACACACCACACGCCACACACCACACGCCACACGCCACACACCACACACCACACGCCACACGCCACACACCACACGCCACACACCACACGCCACACGCCACACACCACACGCCACACATAGCACATGGCACACCACACATAGCACACCACACATCAGACAAGGGCTTGACAAGAGAATGACAAGGGTTCGAAAATGGACTCCAGCGGCTGCAGCTTGTGCTCGCGGGTCTTTCTCCATCGGGCCCTCCGACTCTGATTCAGTTAATAACGAACACACGCATCAGACGTCACGTCGCATAACAGGGCAAAAAAATACCGCGGATGTATCGTACATCCATCCAAACTGTAGCGCGGACGAGACAGCAACAATCAAGCGGCTCACTAAGCAAATTTCGAGCAGCTAAGGGGATAGAAACACGGAGTGCTTTTGAGGCGCCTCAAAAGCACTCTCAGTTCACGCGGGTTTTGAGGCGCCTCAAAAGCACTCTCAGTTCACGCGGGTTTTGAGGCGCCTCAAAAGCACTCTCAGTTCACGCGGGTTTTGAGGCGCCTCAGTTCACTAAGCAGATTTAGAACGGCTAAGGGGATAGAAACACAGAGGACGGCGCACTCGCGGCGCTGCGCCTGGCGATCTGTCCGCGGATCCACGTGATATAAGGTTGGTTTTGAGACATCTCAAAAGCGATCTGTCCGCGGATCGAGGCGGAACCGCTGCGGAGAACGCCGGTCTCGCGGACCCATAATTTTTTTGAGTCGACTCAGAATACTACGGGGATTAAAACGCGCAACGGGAACGACAAGCGGGAGAGACTACGCACTCGTGGCGTCTGAGTCCAAGAGTGCGGAGTCTCTCCCGCTTGTCGTGGCGCTGAGCTTGGCGATCTAGTCGCGGATGGACGCTGGGTCGCTGCGGAGAACGCCGGTCTCGTGGACTCGGACGACGGCAAGGGGGAAAACGACGCGGAGATGAGGCAGGACCTAGGGGTAAATAGCACATAGCTCAGGGTTAGTTCAGGGTTAGTTCAGGGTTAGTTCAGGGTTAGTTCAGGTTAGTTCAGGGTTAGTTCAGGGTTAGTTCAGGGTTAGTTCAGGGTTAGTTCAGGGTTAGTTCAGGGTTAGTTCAGGGTAAGGCGTATGACGCACTCGTGGCGCTGAGCTTGGCGATCTGCTCGCGGATCGACGCCGGGTCGCTGCGGAGTACGCCAGTCTCGCGCACCTTGCGGCGCTCCACCTTGTTCTTCTTGATCTCGCGCTTCCGCTGCTCCTTGCGGAACGAGTCCGTCGGATTCATCGTCCGACCGCCCTTGGTCTTCCTCATCGCGCTAGATGCTACTTGCTACTTAGAACGGTAATTTCAACGGCGGTGGTATTTTCTACGGCTATGCTTTTTCGGTTAAAATGGTTTTCTTGTAGGACGTATCGTGATAGAGGTCACCTACTAGCTGCACAGGATTCGACTAACCACGATGGTTGACTTCTAGGAAGACGGACGTCAACAACAATCTAACGCAACTCAAATGGGCAGGGACTCTGCGCCAACAGTCTAAAGCGAGTATCACGCAGTGGTTAGAGCGACCAGAGAGGAGACGGGAACGACCGAAAGGAGATTCTAGAACGGTGGAGCAGGGAGACCGACGTCCTGGGATGGTGATGCATGCAGTAGCACGAACTGGAACCAGCTGGGCGAACAATGGCGGAGAGCAAGGAAACGACCTCGAGATCTCCGAGATGAAAAAAATGTTGAGCAACAAAGTTGGACGGGAAAACCACGGGAGATGTTGCGGAAAAGCAAAACCGCCGCCCGTGGGGCTCGAACCCACGACCACAAGGTTAAGAGCCTTGCGCTCTACCAACTGAGCTAGGGCGGCTGTTGATAGACAACACAAAAAAACATCTCTATAAAAATAAAAACATTCCCGCTTTTTCCTCTAGCCCTCCTCACCTCTTCTGCAGCCGACTACTTGCCACTGCCACCTCACACGGCTCGCACGGCTCGCACAGCTCGCACGGCGGTCGTCAGCCATGGCGCGTAACGAGGAGAAGGCGAACGCCGTGCTGAATCGCTTCTGGGCGGCGAAGCAGGACGAGAAGCGCAAGCCGCGGAGAAGCGCCCGTTCCTCGCGTCCGAATGCCGCGACCTATCAGACGCTGACAAGTGGCGCCAGCAGATCCTCCGCGAGATCGGGCGGCGAGTAACCGAGATCCAGAACCCAGGGCTAGGCGAGCACCGTCTTAAAGATCTTAACGACGAGATTAATAAGCTCATACGGGAGAAAGGCCACTGGGAGAAGCGTATAGTGGAGCTCGGAGGTCCGAACTACGCGAAACAAGGCCCAAGATAACTGACGCGGACGGTAAAGAAGTCGGCGATGGAGACGACGAGCTGCCGGCCGGCTCGGCGACTGGCAAGGGGCTTGGTTACCGTTACTTCGGCGCGGCGAAGAACCTGCCGGGCGTTCGCGAGCTGTTCGAGAAGCCGACGGCGCCGACTAAGAAACGGAACCGGTACGAGCTTTATAAGCGTATCGATATGGACTATTACGGTACAGGGACGAGGAGGACGGGATCTTAGTGCGACTCGAGACAGAAGCCGAGCGGGAGATTATAACGAAGGCGGTGAGCGAGTGGAGGCGCTCGAAGCAGTTAAAGCCGAGGCGCGCCGCGCCGTGAAAAGCGGAGAGGAAGCTTCGATCCGCGTTCAGACGGATCTGTTAGACGAGCTTGGCGCTCCGATCGAGACCCGGGAATCGCGGGAGCGGCGCGGGATCGCCGCGCAGGAGGGAATCGGCGCGGAAGGAGAGGAAGAGAGAGACGAGGAGGAAACGGAGGAGGCGTATCGCGAGCGAGCAGACGCGCGGGCGCGGCGCGAGGAAGCGGCGTTAGACGCGGCGGAAGAGGCGGCGCTGGATGCGGTGGGCGGGCGGCGATTCGTGGCGCACGTGCCGCTGCCGGACGAGAAGGAGATCGAGCGCATGGTGGTGGCGAAGAAGAAGGCGGAGCTATTAAGTAAGTATGCGAGCGAGGCGCTGGTGCAGGAGGAGGAGGAGGCTAAGGAGCTGCTGAACATTAAGAGATGATGATGGGGATGACGTCAGGCTTAAGTAGATGCGCAGGCTGACTTACAGGAGGAGGCGGGGTCCTGAATTTTGTATGCGAGCGAGCGAGCGAGGAGTGGGAGCAGGAGGAGAGGAGGAGGAGGCGAAGGAGCTGCCGAATATTTGGTGGGGAGGATGGTGGGTGGTGCCATGTACAAGTGACAATGGGCGGGCTGAGTTACAGGAGGAGGCAGCATGTTAGGGAGAGCGAGCGGGTGCAGGAGGAGGAGGAGGAGGAGGAGGTGAAGGACTGCCAAATGTCTGCAGTGATGATAAGGATAATGGTTGTGGTGATAAGGATAATGTTGTGGTGATCCGAGCGTGGCAGATATGCAAGCCGACCTGCAGGTGAGGTGGAGCTGGTGCAGCGCAGCAGCAGCAGTAGCAGCAGGAGGAGGAGGGGGGGGGATTAGTTTGTAGGCCAAGGAGAAGGCGGGGCTTGCTGATTTTTTAGGCGCCTCGAAACAGGCTGACCTGCAGGAGGGGGGGGAGATGAGTAGGGGAGGCGGAGCTGGTGCAAGAGGAGGGTAGGAGGGGATCAGTAGGCCAAGAAGAAGTTGGGCTGCTGACTATCATGAAGAGTGATGATGCGGCGAATCAGACAGCTAGTGAGGAGGGGGAGAGGGGGGGGGGGGGGTGGAGAAGGCGGGGCTGCTGCGATGAAGAGGTGATGATGGTGATGTGATGGTGATGGATGTGATGGTGATGGTGATGTGATGGTGATGACGACGCCAGAAGATGCGGCGAAACAGACAACTAGGGAGAAGGGAGAGGAGGCTAAGGAGCTGGTGGCTGTTATGAAGCTGACGTGGCAGCCATGAAGCAGGGAGAACGGACTAGGAAAGGGGGAAAGTGGATGGATGGTGCTGGGCTGGGAAATGAACAGCTAAGCACCATCCAGAACAGAGATGAAGACTCTAGCTGTGATTTTTGGAGGTCCTGATTGAAACGCTAGCTTGGAATGGCTGCTGCTGCCATATGTAGCCCTGTGCTGTGTGAGGCTGCTTTATCCTGGATTGGGAAACACTCTTGCCCTTCCGGACCTACCTACCAATGTGTGCGCTCTGTGTGAGGTGCTCCAGTCTAAGCTTTGGTTGGGAAGAGCCAGACGGGCTGTGGTTGTGGGAGTCTGGTTGGAAGCTCTTTCTGCTTGGCAATCTGCTGCGTTTAGCTGAGTTTCCTGCTGTTCGTTGCAATGGGGTGAGAGAGCTTGCAGAATTGAGGTCCTGCACTTGAAGAGAGATCATCATTCACTCACATTCCTGAGTAAAGAGAAACGCCATGATTTCTGTCCAGCAGCATGCACCTACCTACAACAAGAAATCATACATTTTTACGATCATCTCTCCAAAATCCCTGCAAGGGGCTGCCTCTCGGAGGATTTTAGAAGATATCAGGGGGGCAAGGGGTCCCTGCCCACTGTTGTGAACGACGTGTGAATCTGCCTGAGCAACGCCTCGTCCCTGGGAGTGTGCGGATGGGTGAGGAGGTGTGGAGAGAGGAGGGATGTATGAATGAGAGGGATAGCAGGGTGGGACGAGGGAGAGAGAATGGATAAGATGGTCTGAGAAAGACTTTAGTTGGGAGCGTGGGCCAGGTAGACACATATGTGACAACAGTAAGGGGATGACAGCAGGAATCAGAGGGCAGAACGTTAGGGCTGGAGCACTGGAGACAATGGGATGGGGGTAGTGAGAGGAGGGGGGTAGTGGAGAGGAGGGGGTAGTGGAGAGGAGGGGTAGTGGAGAGGAGGGGGTAGTGGAGAGGAGGGGGTAGTGGAGAGGAGGGGGTAGTGGAGAGGAGGGGTAGTGGAGAGGAGGGGGTAGTGGAGAGGAGGGGTAGTGGAGAGGAGGGGGTAGTGGAGAGGAGGGGGTAGTGGAGAGGAGGGGGGTAGTGGAGAGGAGGGGGTAGTGGAGAGGAGGGGTAGTGGAGAGGAGGGGGTAGTGGAGAGGAGGGGGGTAGTGGGAGGAGTTGGTAGTGGAGAGGAGGGGGTAGTGGGGACGCGTCCCCTTGCTGCTTCCAGGCTTTAACTGGTGCGCCGAGCTAATTGTAGAGTTTGCTCTTCGGAATAGTAGGAGCAGAAGGGGAAGAGTGGCCAGTAGACACGAAATATGGCGCCTTACGTTTCCAAAACTTATCCGGTGCATTGACAAAGTGGCGTAGAGCTTGTTCTTGGCGCATGTGACTGTAATGAGGGCTGCCCCAGAGGGCTGTCGATCTCAAAGTCGTAGTACAGCTGGTGGAGTCCGGGTCCCGGTGCTGCTCCTTCTTTATCTCGTCTGCTGACAGAATCAAATCCTGCACGTGATGAAGTAGGCAAGGGGGGTGGACAGGGGGGTTTGAGCAACGGTAGCGTGTGCCCCAGAGGGCTGTCGATGTCAAAGTCGCAGTGCAGCTGGTTGCTGTCGGGGTCCGGTGCTGCTCCTGCTTGATCTCGTCCGCTGACAGAATCAGATCCTGCGGGGTGGGTGGGGGATGGCGGGGGGAAGGGGAGAGGGTGGGGTGGGTCGGGGGAAGGGGGAAAGGGGAAGGGGGAAGGGGGAAAGCAGAGGGGGAGCCAAATATTGACGAGTGATGGAGGAGAGCAGAGGGGGTGAAGGGCGGAGGCGGGTGAGAGCCTCAAGGGGGCAATGGTGGCACTCCCTGACGACGCCATTCTCCCACGCTCCCAAACAAGCACTCTTACTCAAGCACTGTCAATCTCCCTCCACCAGATCCCCATCCGACCATCTCAGCTCTCACCCGGGTTGTTCACCCACCTGCAGGCTGACGTCGTCCGACAGCGCAATGTCGCTTAGCACGTTCTCCTGCACCACCAACGACCTGCACTGGTTGCCACATGCGCTTCATGGGCCTGCCGGTACCTGTCATGGGGCTGTTCACGCACCTGCAGGTTGACGTCCGACAGCGCAATGTCACCTAGCACGTTCTCCTGCGGGGGGAGACGGCGGAAGCCTGGCGTGGGGGGGAATGGGGGAAGGGAAGGGGGAGGCGGGCAAGGGGCGGGAAGGGGAGAGGAGGGTGGGGAGGAGAGGATTGGGGGACGTAAACAGATGTCGGAGTCGTAGATGGGTTACAGCTCATGCAGGAATGGAGATGGGTGCGTGGATGTCGAGTCATGCAAGAATGGAGATGGGCTGCGTGGATGTCGAGCAGGCAAGAACGGAGATGGGGCTGCGTGGATGTCGAGGCATGCAAGAATGGAGATGGGCTGCGTGGATGTCGAGGCAGGCAAGAATGGAGATGGGCTGCGTGGATGTCGAGGCATGCAAGAATGGAGATGGGCTGCGTGGATGTCGAGGCAGGCAAGAATGGAGATGGGCTGCGTGGATGTCGAGGCATGCAAGAATGGAGATGGGCTGCGTGGATGTCGAGGCATGCAAGAATCGAGAGCTTCCTTCTTCAACGGTCTTTGATTCGCTATAGAGACGCGCGGTTCTGTGCGACGATTCAGGCATTTCGTCGCTGTGTTCGCTGCGAGCAGTCAAGATTATCGCACTCGAGCACTCGAGTGGAAAGGGAACGCGACGAGGAACGCGACGAGGAACACGACGACTAGGTCACTCACCAGCGAGCGGGGCGTATTGCGATTCTGTACGTTCACAACCAAGCGGCCAACGACGTACCAGCTAGGGACGTGACATAGGTCTTCACATTGCGGTTCTTAGGCCAGTAGAAGAACTCGTTATCCGTGCCCTTCGTCAAAATTTTCACTTTCAATAGTGTCTGCTACAGCGGCACGTGAGCTGGGCTCAGCTCGTCTGTACGTCCAGAATAAAGCAACCAACGACGTACGGGCTAGGAAGGTGACGTAGGTCTTCACATTGCGGTTCTTCGGCCAGTGGAACTCGCTGTCCGTGCCGTTAGTCCCCTTCTGCACTGTCAATAGCGCCAGACATTCTACGTTCAAGCACGCAACCCAACGACGTACCAGCTAGGAACGTGACGTAGGTCTTCACATTGCGATTCTTGGGCCAGTAGAACTCGCTGTCCGTGCCGTTGGTCCCCTTCTCCACCTTGGAGATCGCGCGCTCCTTCCAATCCTCGGGAACGCCGTAGATGTACTCCGCCGTCGCCTGCTTGCTCGCGTTCCCGCCATACCCGCCATAGGACGACGCGCTAGCAGCAGTGCCGTAGTACGTTTTAAGTTCAACATCCGCGAATGCGGGGCCCACGGAGCCGCAGAGAAGCGCTGCCGTGGCGATAGGGTCACCGCAGCCGTGCCGATCCATTTTGCCACGTCAGTGGGTTGCGCCACGTCATCCTTACGCGCCTCGGCTCGGCATTTAAGCGAGACAACGCGGGTAGACGACGAGGGGTGGGAGTGTGGGAGTGAGAGGAGGCGGGGAGCGAAGCGGACACGCCGGCCGGTAACAGTTAGAGCTGCAGGGAGCGACGCCACAGACGCCATGGCTTAGCTACCAAGACCGGAGCAGGAGCGAATTTCCTTACCACCTCGACAGACACCACCGCCACTCACGCCGCTCTCCTGTCCCTAGCGCTAAGGACCTTCTAGGAGCGAGTTTCCTGACTGCCTGAAACAATCTATGAGGAGCAGGAATGTCCAAGAATCTAGAATCTAGATTCCAGAGGGGAGCAGAGGGGACCAGGTCGGAATTCAGGGTGGGAGGAAGAACAGGAGGGGGTGAGGAGGAAGGCCGAGGTGATTGGGAAGGAAATATCGGCTGACGAATCACACGAGGAAGCTGACGTGGAACAGAATGGATTGAGGACGGATGACGATATGTGTGGGTGGGGACCAGCAAAGGGAGTTCTGTTTCCACTTGGAGATCCACGGAGCACGACCCAGTTGCAAAATAAAGAAAACCCTTGTTCGTGTAATCTACATTTGTTTAAAACGTTGTGCGGTAACCACTTGCCTACAACCACTCGTTGCGACGTTAGCGATAGCGCCCGAAGCTGCCTTCGGTGATTCCATACAGTACGCTCCAGCTTGGGAACGTGTACGGCTGATAAGATAGCCCAGAACGCTGTAGATTACGAATTCAAGTTGTTCATCCAATGATCCTAATTATAGCTTTTACACAACATAAATACACAAGAGCAAGCATAGTCGTTCCATACTGTATTCAAACCTTATTCCCCCCTCTATCCCTTCCCGCAACAGCATGAAAAAGCATTGCACCACTAATACGTAACACCGGTAAATAAAAATAAAAAGCCACAAGGGGAAGAGCCCTCGAAGCGCAGCATTGTCCCTGTCGTGCAGGGACATTGAAGTTGAAGCTGGCTCACTGCACAGCGCTGCTACTTCACAGCGCAAGCCTCCTCCTAGATCCGCCGGGCCACCGCTAGCACCACCATTGGATGCAACAAGGCCAGCGGCTTGCAGCTGCTCCTGCTGGCGCTGCTGCGCAGGAATGAGGAAGTGAAGGCCGGCTCGCTGCGCAGCGCTGCAGGCGGCTCGATGTCGTCCAGCACGAACTCCTTCATCGAGCGGGACACCTCGTCCGCTTGGAACGGGCAGCTGCGAGTGGAGGAAAGAATGGGAGAAAAGGACGAGGAGGACAGCTATGAGGCACCGAAAGCTTGATGCCGCTCAGCACGAACTCCTTCATAGAGCACGACACATCGTCCGCTTGGAACGGACAGCTGCAGATTGGGGAAAGTGCAAGGCACGGAGAGAGCAGCAAGGTATGAGCGAGGGGCATGGCCTGCAGAAGGATGCAGGCGTCTCCGATGTCGTCCAGCACAAACTCCTTGATCGTGCGAGCACCTCATCATCCGCTTGGAACAGGCAGCTATGGTCGGGAAAGGGTGACCAGGAACCCAAAACGAGTGAGTGGGTAGACCATGATCTGAGATGGTGCAGGCGTCTCGATGTCGTCCAGCACATTCGTGATGGATTTAACCAGAGACACCCATCCTTGCCGTTTCTGCCGTCCGTGTTGTCCTTGTGAGAAATGCCTTCCTAGAGCAAGAAACGTCTTCGTCATGAGAGCCCACATCTGCTTCAACCCTGCTCGATCACAGCAGGGTCGACGCCAGGCGACCCCTCCTCCTTGAACCACCTGCAGATGGTGCACCAGCTGGTGCATGGATTGAGTGGTCTTGTCTCACCTCTTGTCTTCCTTGAGCAGGAAGGGAGCGTCCTCGTCATGAGCGCCCACATCTGCTCAATGACCGCAGGGTCAACGCCAGGCGAGCCGTCCTTGTCGTCCTCGAACCACGTGCAGATGTGCGCCAGCTGCGTCACACTCAGATCGGGCACATGCGCTCTATGTGCTGCAGCTTGCGCGCGGGCTTGTTCTCGTCCAACTGAATGTGGGGGGGGGGGGGGGGGAGTAGGTATAGGAAAGGGGGAAGGGGAAGAGCACAGGGGATGGGGGAATAAGCCAGCTGCGTCACTTCGAGCGAGGTGGGTCACGCTCAGATCGGGGCACATGTGCCGATGTGCTGCAGCTTGCGGCGGGCTTGTCTCGTCCAACTATGAGGGGAGGAAGAGGGGAAGAGGAGAGGCAGGGGGGATGAGAGGAAGGGGGACCATCGGGCTAATCGCTGATTCGAGCTCAGGATGTGAGAATCCGTGTGTAATGAGTCGATTTTTGAGTCGACTGAAAAATCGACTCATTACACACGGCTTATCGCTGATTCGAGCTCAGGATGTGAGAAACGCTCACCAGGAACCCACCGTCTGTTGGATGTGCTTGATGTTCACCAGCGTGGCGTCCGGATAACCCTATACACATGTATACACATACACGTACACATACATATATATACACATACACATGTATATGTGTATAAAATCTTGTAGTGTGCGTTTGTTGAGCCACTCACAGGAACCCAACCGTCTGGCGGATGTGCTTGATGTTTTCGATGAGGGAGGACGTGAGGCTGATGGTGTCCACCAGCGTGCGTCCAGCCACTCGTCACGTTGCCCAGCCAGTCCTCGAGGTCGCTCATGCCCGCCTCCATGGTTTCCCCATTGGTGAAGGTGCACGGCACCCACGGGCAGTGCATCATCACGCTGTAACAGGTGGGCAGGGAGCAGAGGCAGGGAGGGGCAGGAGGGGCAGGGACGCGGGGGGCAGGGAGGGTGAGGGAACAGGGGCACGGGAAAAGGGGCAGCCAGGCGCGTCCAGCCACTTGTCCACGTTGCCCAGCCAGTCCTCCAGGTCGCTCATCCCCGCATCCATGGTCTTGCCGTTGGTGAACGAGCACAGCACCCACAGGCAGTGCATCACCACGCTGCCAGGGATGGGAATGAGAGATTACAGTTGGATTAATGTAGGGAAAACAGGTCAGTCCCAGCCAGTCCTCCGGGTCGCAGCGGCGGCTCGTAGTTAGCACGTCACACATCCTCAAGGGCCTGGGCCTTGTGTTATGTGGCTTGTGTTATGTGGCATGTGTTATGTGTTATGTGGCATGTGTTATGAGGCATGTGGCATGTGTTATGTGGCATGTGGCATGTGTTACGTGGCATGTGGCAAGTGGCTCAGCATCTAGACCATAGGGCATCGCTCCATACCTGTTGAACAGCTTCACGTCCACGTATTGCAGCAGCTGGGACATGAACTCCCTGACCAGCAGCGGCGGCACGTAGTTGGCCCGGCACACGTCCACAAAGTGCCGGAAGGCCGCCATGAGCCCCTCCCAGAACATGGTCATCTGCCGCCGGACGTTGCCGGGGTGGGCACCAGCTTGTGCACCGACCACTGTGGACGCCCCGCTGACTGCAGAGGCGTTGTCTGGGAAACTCGTAGCCCGGCTCCTCCGTGGTCACAGGAGGGGGCTGCAGGCGATGAGGGACAGTGGGAGGGGAAAAGAGAGGCGGATAAGGGGGTGAGAAAATGAGCCCCTCCCAGAACAGCGTCATCTGCCGCCGCACATTGCCCGGAATGGCACCAGCTTGTGCACCGACACCGTGGATGCCCCACTGACTGCACAGGCGTTGTCAGGCAACTCGTAGCCTGGCTCTTCTGTGGTGACCGGAGGGGGCTGCAGGCCACAACAAGAGGGGGGGGGGGGGGGGGGGGGGGCAGGAGGCGGGGAGCATGTACGTCACCCTTATGCAGCAGGTTGGAGAAAGGGTTCCCTATACACACCATCCATTCCCGTTCCGGATGGTTGTTGAGCAGCAGCAAGATGTGGCGCTTTCATGCTGCTGCCCCTTAAGCAATGCCACGTCCCACAGATGTGCAGGTTGTTGTGCATACCAAAGCTCCCATACACCTATCCCATGAACTCACAAACAGCTACTCCGTATACTCACAAACAGCTACCCCTTATACTCACATACAGCTACCCTTATACTCACAAGCTACCCTTATCCTCACACAGTTCTGACACATCTATGTCACGCTCTTCTCACCTGCAGCAGGTTGTTGAGCCAGAAGCGAGATGTTGGTGCTTCATGCTGTCGCGGGTCACCACGTACAGCTTCTCTATCTGCACGCCCAGCTGCGACTTGGCCACCGTGTTGTCCATGCGGACTAGACCGCGCGTGTTCTGGTGTGTGGTAAAGCAAGTGAGAGGAGAGAGAGACACACACAATGGCAGAGGGTGACTTTGAGCTGTTACCCCATGCTGCACGTACAGCTTCTCTATCTGCACGCCCAGCTGCGACTTGGCCACCATGTTGTCCATGCGGCGGGGCCGCGCATGTTCTGGCGAGTGGTGGGGATTGGTGAAGAGTGGTAAAGAGTGCTGACGAGTGGTGAGGGGAAGAGATAGTAAGAGTAGAAAGAGAGCTTAGTCTCATTGGACTTGGCCACCCGTGTTGTCCATGGCAGGGCCACATATGCTCCTCCCCTCCTCCCCTCGTCCATGTTCTGGTGAAGGGCAGCATGGGGAGGGGGAGGGATAGGAGGTGATAGGAGTGATAGGAGGTGATAGGAGGTGATAGGAGGTGATAGGAGGTGATAGGAGGTGATAGGAGGTGATAGGCGACTTAGAAGCTTTGGAGCTAAGTTGGATCTGATGTTTACGGTGTTTTACATTTTCGAACGTTTACGTCGTTTTTTTACGTTGACGAACGGTTGCTCTATTTTGGACTAACGGTCAGCCTGAAAATTCACAGGGCTGCCAGAAAAAAAATCCCATAGGGAATTTCCATAGCGAAATTCCAACAAGCGTGGAATGCCAATGCTGGGATTTCCTGGTTGGGGATCTGTGAAATTCTAGAGCACGGAACTCCACATTAAGCGCAGCAACCTCTCCCAATAACCCCTCTTATTGCACATCCCCTTCACAACTCAATTCCCCCCAGCAAGCATATCTCTATACCGCTCATTCACACGCCCTACTTTCAGAGAGGCAGGCTGACGACTCGCTAGTGTCCCTAGACAGAGTGTCATGATGAAACATTTTATTGTATTTTATTTTTAATTAATTCATTTATTTTTAGTTTTTTTTTCCAGCTGCCTGGCATGGATTAACGCATTAGTCCGCGTTCGTAGCCGAAATCGTAAATAATCGCGTTTATTTATGATAACGGTACCCTAAAAAATGTTAGGGCCCAACTTAGCTTTGGAGAGAGAACAGGCACTTGACAAATGACTCGCAGTGGACAGCCAGAAGCACCGCCCTTCACCAGGTCCTTGTCAAGCGCCTGGTTCACACACGGCCTTGCATGTGCTCCATCATCTTGTCGAACGTGTTCATCGCTCCACCTCAATCATGCTCCAGCCAGTGCATCTCGATTCCCTTTCCCCCTCCCTCTCCCCCTCCCACCCTCCCCTGTTCAACTCACCAGGAAGTGCAGGTGCACTGTATTCGAGAGCCAGTAGTACCGCACGTCATTGTTGTCGGCCTTGCACACGGCCTGCATTGCTCCATCATCCCATGTACCCTTCCTTCCCCCCTTTCCCTTACAGAAAGCTCCCACACTCACCAGGAAGTGCAGATGAACCGTATTCGACAGCCAATAACACCGGACATCATTATTGTCCGCCTTGCACACGGCCTGCATGTGCTCCATCATCTTGTCGAACGTGTTCATCCGCTCCACCTCGATCATGCCTCCAGTGCACCATCGCCTTGTACACCATGCACGCCATCACCGGCCGGCCCCTGCTGAATCCCTAAGTTCTGGCGCACGCACTCCATCAGCATGTCCTGCAGTAGGGACGGATGGGGGGAGCAAGGAGGGGAGGAGGGCGGGGAGGGGGGAAGCCAGGGTTGCATGGAGGTGAACAGGCGTCCTGCAATCTGGCGCACGTGCTGCGAGCACCTCGATCGTGCTCCAGTGCACCATCCATCGCCTTGTACACCAGGCACGCCATCACCAGCCGCCCGCGGCTGAACCCTAGGTTCTGACGGGACGCACTCCATCAGCATGTCCTGTGTTGCGGGAGAGGATGGAGGGGAGGGGCAGCAGGGGCAGCAGGGGCAGCACGGGCAGCAGGGGCAGCAGGGGCAGCAGGGGCAGCACGGGCAGCAGGGGCAGCAGGGAGAGAGGGGGCAGCAGGGGGAGAGGGGGGAGAGAGAGAGCGGGGGAAGAAATGCATGCAGGTGAAAACGATACCTGGATTCTCCCTCTCAAGCCCACTCTTCGCACCCCTAGATTTCTCTCAGCCCCTACTTATCTCTAGCCTCTCCTCCTGCTTGTGCAGCGACATGCTGCCCGCCTTGCCTGCTGACAGCACAGCACAATCCCCTGCTTGCACCCACCCGGCCACTCTCATCTTATCTTCTCATTTCCTGCCCTCCGCCCTCTTCTCACCTGGCTGCTCTCCGCCCTCTTCTCACCTCTTGCTTGTGCACCGACATGCTGCCCGCCTTGCCCGCTGACAGAGCCACGATCTTCTGGTGGAGCTCCCTGTTCTCCTGCTCCAGCATCTGACGGCTGAGATCGCAGAGGCCAAGTGGCGGGCAGGCAGGCAGGGGAGCAGGAAACGAGAGGTTAGAGGTAGGTGAGGGCATCCAGGCACAATCATCTGGGCGATTGCTCTAAATCGGCATCTGACGGCTGAGATACAATCAATCAAGGTGCGAGGTAAGCATGCAGGGAGGGAGAGGAGAGGAGGGGCTAGGAGGAAAGGACATTTAGGCACTACCTTCTGGTGGAGCTCCCGGTTACAATTGGTGGTACTATTATTTGACTGTTACAGCTGATATGATTATCATCATCAATATTTATATACCATCGTGTAACACTCACGCGGCGAGCTTCATGCGCATCTCGCTGAATTTCGCCTCCATCTCGAGGATCAGCAGGTCGCCCGCCGCCGCCAGCTCCTCCGCCGCCTTGGCGCGGATGAACTCCTCCTTCTCGCGCTGCAGCGCGTCCTCCGCCCTCGAGTTCGCATCCGCGTACCAGCCCTGCACAGAAGCGAGAGGGGAGAGAACAAGCGGGAGCCAGGCAATCAGAGTGATTCGTTGCAGCAGCCATCTCCTCCGCCGCCTTGGCGCGGATGAACTCCTCCCTCTGTAGTGTGTCCTCCGCCCTCGAGTTAGCATCAGCGTACCAGCCCTGTCAAGAAGAGAGAGGAGAGAGAGAGGAGTGGAGACAGGAGAGAGAGGAGTGGAGAGAGGAGAGAGAGGAGTGGAGAGAGTAGAGAGGAGTGGAGCGAGTAGAGAGAGGATTGGAGAGAGGAGAGAGAGAGGAGTGGAGAGTGGAGAGAGAGAGGAGTGGAGAGAGGAGAGAGAGAGGAGTGGAGAGAGGAGAGAGAGAGGAGTGGAGAGAAGAGAGAGAGGAGTGGAGAGAGGAGAGAGAGAGGAGTGGAGAGAGGAGAGAGAGTGGAGAGAGAGAGAGGTGTGGAGAGTAGAGAGAGGAGTGGAGAGAGGAGAGAGCAGGCAATCAGAGTGATTCGTTGCAGCCGCCAGCTCCTCCGCCACCTTGGCGCGGATGAACTCCTCCTCCCTCTGAAGGGCGTCCTCAGCTCGGGAGTTAGCATCTGCGTACCAGCCCTGGGGGAGTAGAGGGGTGCAGATAGGGCAGTGGGAGCAGGGGGAAAGGGAGTGGTTATCAGAATCAGCCGCCAACTCCTCTGCTGCCGTGGCGCGGATGAACTCCCCCTTCTCGCGCTGCAGTGCGTCCTCCGCCTGTGAATTCGCATCCGCATGCCAGCCCTGTACAGAAGCGAGAGGGGAGAGAACAAGCGGGAGACAACCAATAAGAGGGATTCTTTGTCAAGTCCCTCAAGTCCCTCACCTCCCTCAGTTCCCTCAGCTCTCTCAACTTTCTGAACATTCTGAACTCCCTGAGCTTTCTGGAACTCCCTAATCCTCTGCACTTCCTCCTTGGCCTCCTTCTCATTGGTCCACTCTCCAACATCAATCCGGGGCACTGTTACAGACACACCCACCTGCCCGCCCTCCACTATCTCGTGCACCCATCATTCAGAAGCACACAGCGCTCGTTATAGTCACAGTCTGATCATTGACGCACGCAGGCAGCTCGTTATAGTCACAGCCTGATCATTGACGCACGCAGGCAGCTCGTTATAGTCACAGCCCGGTTCACCTGCAGCAGCTTCTTGAGCCTTTCCACCTGCCCGCCCTCCTCCTTCATCTCGTTAATCCTCCGTTCCGTGGCACACACCATCGTTATATGGTTATGCTTTCACAATTCGCACACGTCCCTCGCTATAGTCACACAAGGACCCACCTGCAGCAGCTTGTTGAGCTTCTTGAGTCGCTCCACCTGGCCGCCCTCCTCCTTCATCTCGTTGATCCACCGCGCCAGCGCGTCCATATCCTGGCCTCGAGAGCGCAGGGCGTTCTGCGCACAAGGGAAAGGGGGGGGAGAGGGGGGGGAGAGGGGGGGGGGAGATGGGGATAAGGGAGAGAGTGAGGGGGGAGAGAGTGAGGGGGAGAGGGGGAGGAGAGGGGGCGGGGATCGGGAGGAGGGGAGGGGAGAAGGGAGGGATTTTTTCCAGGGGGGGGGGGGGGCGGGGAGGGGGCTTACAACATTCCTCACATGGCGCACATGACCCCTGTTAAGGCAACCGCAGGTACACCCCTCCTTTCGCACCAACACGACCTTCACTGTAGTCTCGCTACCGCGCCAGTCACACTGCCCTATAATCACACTCACCACATCGATCCGCGGCGCGTTCTTGAGCTGCTCCAGCAGCTGGTTGGGTCCCTTGACGGACGCCATGGCCTGGATGCGCTGCCTCAGCACGCGGTTCTCCTGCTCGAGCATCGTCATTCTGCCACGGAACAGAGGGGTGGAAGGGAGAGGGGTACGGGAGAATACGAGGTGAGAGGTCCGCGCATCTGAGTGCGCTGCCTTTAAGACGCGGTTCTCCTGCTCCAGCATCGTCATGCTGGTGAAGGAACGCAAGGGAATGAATGATCGCCCGACTGATCGCTTGACTGATCGCCTGACTGATCGCCTGACTGATCGCCTGACTGATCGCCTGACTGATCGCCTGACTGATCGCCTGACTGATCGCCTGACTGATCGCCTGCATGAATGAGTCGGTGACGTTGTGATTGAATAAGGGCCGGAATATGCTGCCTTCCTTTGAGAATGAACGCATTCCTCCCCGCTCTCCCTCCCTCCTTCACTCCTTCACTCCCTCACTCCCTCTCACTCCCTCCCTCGCTCCCTCACTCCCTCACTCCCTCCCTCGCTCCCTCACTCCCTCCCTCACTCGCTCTCACTCGTCCAGCAGGGCTAGTCTTGTGTGTCCTGTGCTTGTCTCATGCTCGGCAGTCCGGCAAGTCATTCACACACTCCCACCCTTTTTACACCCCCCCCCCGGCCAGTCGTTCTCTCAGAGCGCCGAGCTTCCCGTGCAGATCCTTCAGCATGCAGTGCGCCACCGCCGCAACGTGGTGGATTTCACAGCGCATGCGCGCGCACACACACGCACACACACACACGCACGCACACACACGCACACACACACACGCACACACACACGCACTCACACACACACACGCACGCACACGCACACACACACACACACACACACACACACGCACGCACACACACACACGCACACACACACACGCACACACACACACGCACACACACACACGCACACACACACACACACGCACGCACACACACGCACACACGCACGCACACACACGCACGCACACACACACGCACGCACACACACACACACGCACGCACACACACACACTCTCCTCCCTCACCCTTTCGCCCTCTCATCCTCTCACCCTCTCACTTTCTCACTCACCCGGCCAGTCGTTCCTTGAGCGCGCCGAGCTTCCCGTCCAGTTCCTTCAGCATGCGGTGCTTCACCGCCGCAACGTCCTCCGCGTCGTCCGCCATCGACGTCGCCTCCCACGCCCTCAAGCTCTTCTCGTCCGCCCACGCCTTCGACTCCGCATACCAGCTCTGCAGCAGCTTGTTCTGCTGCTTTAACTTCGCGATCGAGTCGCTCTCCGTGCGCATCTCCGCTATAAGCTTGCTGAACACCTGCAGGTCGATCGTGCCCTCCGGAGGAGCCGCCGGCTTCGGCGCCGCCGATTGCGGCGGCTCGGGCTTGACCGTTGAGACGAGCACCATCGCGTTGTTCGGCCCGGGCTGGATCGACACCTCGGAAGCCGCCACCGACTGCGCGTCGCTGTTATCCGCCGCGCCTCCAGCCGCCGCGATCGTCGCCGCGACGTCCGGCACCATCGCGCCCTCCGCGGCCAGCCCCGGGAGGTTCCCGAGCCTGCGGCTCAGGCTCGGGTGCTGCCTACGCGGGTCGGCGTGGGAGCGCCACGCGATCTGGCTAGATGCGACCGACACCGCGTCGCCCATATCCGACTCCGCGTAAGGCGACCTGCGCGGCACTCCCCCGCCGTACCCCGCGGCGGAGCTTCCGGCGTACCCCGCGGAGCTTCCGCCATACCCGCCGCTTGCGCCAGGGGCTGCGCCCGCGCCTTCCGCAGGGCTCTTGTAGAAGCGGTAGGGGGAGCTCTGCGTGCGCCAGGGGGAGCCAATCCCGCTCTGGGGGGGTGTCGCCTGCGAAGCCGCGTGCGACGCGGACGACGGGATGTCGTCGGACGACACGAGGCTGCCACGTGTCTGCGACCCCCATCCCACGCCCGACAGCGAGTCGTCCTTATCCTCCTTATCATATCCCCCGCCGCGGGCTGCGGCGGCTGCAGCGGCGGCGGCGGCGGGAGGAGCAATCATAGAAGCAGATGGCGGCGCCACGTAAGCGGGCCGAGCGGCACCAGCGGCGGCTGGGGGGGCTGGGCGGGGCTGATGAGACGCGGCTTGCTGAAGCGCAACCGGGGGGCTTCCGCTTCCGCTTGGCGCACCAGGCGCAGGCGCAAACGATACTGTCCTGCGGATTTCCGCTGGCTGGTTCGCGGAAAGCGCCACTCCGCGGGAGCCCGCCGTGGCGGGGCGCAGGGGCGTGGCGGAAGGATGCACGGGAGAGGCAGTGGCGGGCACGGCGGCGGAACCCGCGGCGGGACGTGCGGGCGACGTCATCAGACTAGCGCGCGGGGGCATCTCAGACATGCTTCGCGCCATCCCCATTCCGCCAGCCCCCGCCACTCCCGCCCCCGCTGCCGCCGCCGGCGCTCTCCCCTGGCTCCCCGCAGACGCGGATTGCTTCGGGCGCACGGCTTCCAGCCGCGCGACGTTGGCGCGCGCATCCTTCAGCGCGGCTTGCAGACGCGCGACCTCTGCCGCCTTGATCTCCTGCTCCTGCGGCCCGTCCGCGCGCCTTCCGCGCGCCTCTTTCAGCGCGGCGAAAAGCCGCCCGACTTCCGCCTGCGCAGAGGTGAAGTCCTCCACGGAAACCATGCTGGGCGCGGCGGGCGGAGCCATGGATTGCGCGCGCGCCATTCCCAGCGGCTCTGGCGCAGCGGATGCTGAAGCCGAGGGGGGGGTGGGCTTGGGGGCGGTTGCCGTCCGCTCGACTAGGACGGGTTCCTGTGGCGCAAGACCCGCGGGGACACCAGCGAAAGGGCGCGCTCCGCTCGGCGCAGCCTTGGCGCTTGGCGCGGAGCCAACGACGGGAGGGCGCGTTCCGCCGATGAACTGCACGGGGAAGGGGGAAAGGTAATGATTGAGTGGGGCGGTGGGGAGTAGGGGAGGGGGAGAAGCGGGGGGCGTTTGCGCGCAGGGGGAGAAAGGCGGAACGGGAAGCAAGATTTTATCAGCAGGAAAACTGAGTTCCCAGCTGACCAAGCGTGACTAATCAGTGAGGAGAATTCAGGTGAGGGGAAACAGTTATGCAAGTGAGGCAATGACTGAGGAGAGTGAGGAGAGTGAGGAGAGTGAGGAGAGTGACAAGAGCGCACCGAAATCTCGTTATCGTTCTTATCCTCGTCATCGTCCTCCTCCTGCGCGCCCGCTGCCGCCGCCGGGTATTCCGGGATGCTGGCCGGCAAGCTCTCCAGCACGCTGCCGACCACGCTGCTGCCGTCCTCCGACTCGTAGTCCTCCACGTCGATGCGCCACTTAAGAGCGTCCTTAATAGCCTCGCCACCCGCGACGTCCGCGCCGGCTCCCGCGGCTTTCCCGGCGGCTCCAGCAGCAGCAGCTGCAGCCGAGCCGGCGTGCACCAGCCCATCTGACGCGGCGTTGCCGCCGGAAGCGGCGGCGGCGGTTTCTAAGTCACCCGACATGGCGGAAAGTAGGGGCGGCTGCCCTACGAGAAAGAGAGAACGTGAAAGAGTAGAAGGGGGTAGATTGATCTATAAGCGACTTCGTATTCGGCCTACAGCGAGCGAGCTGACTTCAAGCTTCAGGTTTTCAAGTCACTAACCGCGGATGTTCTCTACAGCTGAACTATTGCGCTCGTTCAGTGGGTGCAAGCTACGCTGAATCTCCAGCAGCTGAATCTCCAGCAGCTGAATCTCCAGCAGCCTTAGAACCTATATTGCCACTCGCTACGCGCATCAGCACCTGTTCCGCTCGAGTCGTCAGCAGCTCCTACACCAAGACCGCCTAAAGCGCGTCCTTCTGGGAATAATACGGTATATGCCTTCTAGGATAAGCCGGACGCTGGCAGTCAGTCTCGCTACCCAGGGCTGGCTGGCTACGAATCCTCTAAGGCGGTCGCCGGGTGGGACGTTGGATGCCGTTCGAGCCAGTCTAGATGCCTGACGAAACCTCTTCCTAGGCTTACCTTACCTCACCAACCTCCGTCCATCCCTCACAGTCCCCCGTCGCCGTCACGCTTTCGGTCAAGCTAACCCTAATCGCCCGAGGACACGCGTCCAACAGGCCTCACGTATCTCGTTGCGGAATGACGGGCGCCGGAGCTAAGACAGCGGCAGATGCTCGTGTTGTAGGGGTGGCGTTGCTGTGCGACAGCCATGGGAACGAGTCGCCTCGGAATCGGCTGTCAAAATGTCGCTACAGAATGCCTCTAGTGATTTGGCCAAGGCAAAGAAAGCGGAGAATCGAGTCGCTTGTTCGGCTCGGGTGACCCCCATGATTTTCAATGAGTTACCAGGTTTCGTGCGAAGGGTAACTTGCGAAGATATACGGAGAGGAAGAAGGGAAAAAATTGCTCTGAACTCAAAATATGATATGGTTTCGCGAAAAACGCTGGGCGATGATCCACAGTTTTGCGATGTGGCTGTGCGCGGAGAGAACGGCAGATACAGAGCCGTGCGGGCAAAAACATGCGGTCGCCCGTCGCAGAACATCTGATGCAGAACAGAGCCCACCCAGAGAATTGGTGCCAGCCAATAGGAGCGAGGTATTTGGGCGACGCAGGCGGGAGGGCAGGGCCGTGTGAAGCGCTGCGCCTGGCGATGTTTCCCGCCACTCAGCTTCATGGCACACCAGCGCGACTCGTTCTTTCGTGGCGACAAGTTACGAGATTGAGGGATGTCACACTAAGTTTCCATAATAATATGCATAGGATTGTTAACTTTCTTCACATGGAATTTGCATGATACATCCATAAATTACCATTCTCGTTGCAGCCTCACCCAACCTGGACAATTCCTAGGTGAACTACAGCATTCAGCCATATTCCCAAAATATAGATACAACATTAGCCCCACTTTAGGTATGGAAGGTGGAATCAGGATAATTGCACGAATAAGTGTAGTCTCTTCTCCACTCCAATATGCTATACCCCTAAGCACATGTATTCGTTCCTCCTAGCTCCACTTCAGCATCCTGCATGGGCGTCCACACCATCGACAGACCACATGCAGTTACATACCACACCATGCCATGCAGTAACATACCACACGATGCCATGCAGTAACATACAACACCACGCCATGCAGTCACATACCACACCATCCCAAGCAGTAACATGCCACACCATACCATGCAGTAACATACCTGACCATACCATGCAGTAACATCCCACACCACGCCATGCAGTGAGATACCAGACCATGCCATTCATGGCACACCATACTAAGCAGTGCGAAACCAGACTATGGCATGCAGTAACATACCACACCATGCCATGCAGTAACACTCTAGACCCGCCAAGTATTAACACACCAGTCCACTAGTCCATACAAGATATCTTCCCACTCCACACCATACCATATCAGCACATCTATTAACATATCACCAGACCTTTCAATCCACCCCCCTCCATAAAATCACCCCCCCTCACGCTATCACCCCCTTCGTGCTAGCACCCCAATCCATACTATTACCCTCTTTCATTCCCCCCCCCCACACTATCACCTCCCCTCATACAATCACCTTCATGCCATCAACCCCCTTAATACGATCACCCCCCCTCGTAACATCATCCCCCATCATATTATTTCCCCCCCCCCTCTCCTCCTTTCATGCTATCACCCCACCTGATGCCATCACCCCCTGATGCCATCACACACGCCTCAATACTATCACCCCCCCCCTCATACTATCACCCCCCTTCATGCTATCACCCACCCTCACCCTATCACCCCCCTCATGCTATCGCCCCTCCTCATGCTATCACCGCCCCTGATGTCGTCACACAACCCTCAATACAATCACCCCCCCCCCCCCCCCCTCATGCTAACACCCTCCCTCATACTATCAACCCCCCTCACACTATCAACCCCCCTCATACTATCACCCCCCTTCATGCTATCACCCCCCCTCATACTATCAACCCTCCTGATAACCCCCCCTCATGGTATCACCCCACCCCATACTATCACCCCCCCTCCCGATATCAGCAAGCCCCCTAATACTATCAACCACCCTCATACTATCAACCCCCCCCCCACACATTACCACCCGCCCCCCATGCTATCACTCCACTCCATGTCACACCCCAAGTTATCAAACCACTCCATGATATCACACCACGCCCTACTATCACACCATGCCTTACTATAACACCATTCCATACTCTCACACCACTCCATACTATCACACCACCTCCATACCATCAATCCCATTCACACCTCCCTCGCAGCACAGCGCTCCCAGTGGCCCAAGCCCTGTGACCCAAGTGGAGCAGTGGTGGGTTGCGAGGTCAGCCCAAGACTTGGGTGCCCCTCACCATCGTGGCAAGAGCTTGCCTCACAGAAACCTGCGGCCGCCAGGTTCTGATTTGGCCTATTATGCCTTAAACGACGGGTATTGGGCCCAAGCACAGAGATTTGACACTCAAACAACCTCACTGCCGCCACCTGGCCCACAGGGCACGACCCACCGAGAGCACTGGCCCACCCCCCACTCCCTTCTCCTCCCAACGTACCTCACTTACCTTAGTGCCTCAAAGCACCACCAAGGATGACGCTGCTTGGGGGGGGGCTGGGTGGTGATGGTGGTGGTGGTGGTGGTGGTGGTGGTGGTGGTGGGAGGGGGGGTGGGGGTGGTGAGGGTGGTTGGGGTGGGGGGCGGGGGAAAGGGGGGGGTTGAGATGGGGGCCTCCAACCTGCTGACGTCATCCCAGAGCTTCAGACGAGATCTGAAGGGAGGGATGCATGGAGGAGAGGGATGAGATCACCTGCCTATACCATACCTTACCTTACCACACCTTACCTGACAGACACCACACCTTTATCTTACCTCCTCGGCCCGAACTAGCCTGCCCGCCAACTACCTACACCCTGCTGCTGCTGCTGCTGCTGCTGCTGCCCTCTTGCCCTCCTGCTGCTGCTGCTATTTCTGCTGCAATCTTCCAGGTGTTGCCAAGGGCACTGCAGGGTGGGTAGGTGGGCGGGTGGGTTGGGTGGTGGGGGGGGGGATGGGGCGGCAGGGGGGGGGGTTTAGGAGGTGAGGGGAGAGTAAACCCATGGAGAGAGATGAGAGCAAATGGGATTACAGCATATGAGATGAGAGCAAATGGGATTACAGCATATGAGATGAGAGCAAATGGGATTACGGCATATGAGATGAGAGCAAATGGGATTACAGCATATGAGATGAGAGCAAATGGGATTACAGCATATGAGATGAGAGCAAATGGGATTACAGCAAATGGGATTACAGCATATGAGATGAGAGCAAATGGGATTACAGCATATGAGATGAGAGCAAATGGGATTACGGCATATGAGATGAGAGCAAATGGGATTACAGCATATGAGATGAGAGCAAATGGGATTACAGCATATGAGATGAGAGCAAATGGGATTACAGCATATGAGATGAGAGCAAATGGGATTACAGCATATGAGATGAGAGCAAATGGGATTACAGCATATGAGATGAGAGCAAATGGGATTACAGCATATGAGATGAGAGCAAATGGGATTACAGCATATGAGATGAGAGCAAATGGGATTACAGCATATGAGATGAGAGCAAATGGGATTACAGCATATGAGATGAGAGCAAATGGGATTACAGCATATGAGATGAGAGCAAATGGGATTACAGCATATGAGATGAGAGCAAATGGGATTACAGCATATGAGATGAGAGCAAATGGGATTACAGCATATGAGATGAGAGCAAATGGGATTACAGCATATGAGATGAGAGCAAATGGGATTACAGCATATGAGATGAGAGCAAATGGGATTACAGCATATGAGATGAGAGCAAATGGGATTACGGCATATGAGATGAGAGCAAATGGGATTACAGCATATGAGATGAGAGCAAATGGGATTACAGCATATGAGATGAGAGCAAATGGGATTACAGCATATGAGATGAGAGCAAATGGGATTACAGCATATGAGATGAGAGCAAATGGGATTACAGCATATGAGATGAGAGCAAATGGGATTACAGCATATGAGATGAGAGCAAATGGGATTACAGCATATGAGATGGGAGCAAATGGGATGAGATGAGAACAGCTCATGAACAGCAATGGAAAGCATAAGAAGAACACCCCTGGTATAGCTGCAGCTATAGCACACAGACCGTAAAGAGCTCTGGCACAGTCTCTAAGGCTTAGGTGCGGAAAAGTACCTGGGGGGTATTGCCTGGAAAAGCACCTGCGGGATTCACCTGGGGAAATCACCTGAGGGGTTACCTGAGGGCTGGTCTGTGTGCTGTAGGCTGAGCCTTGGGCCAGGGGTGAGAGTTTAGGAATGCAATTGACATGTGCACCACAATGTGAATGAAACCGTGAGGTGTGGTGTGGGCAGAAGAACATGGTGAGGTGAGGTTTAAAGAGCCAGGAATACTTAGCTGGTTGCTTTGGTGGTTGCAAGGCAGTAGCACCACCAGCTGCTAGCTGATAAGCTGCTAGCTGATCAGCTGCCTAGTTGGCCGGCTTGCATCCCGCCCTCCTGCCCTCTCCCAACTGCTGCTCAACTCCAAGAGCAACTCCTGTCCAAGAGCTGCTTGATTCCAAGAGCTGCAAGGGAGGAGGAGGAGGGGGAAGAAGCGAGCAAGACACAAGTGAGTGGCTAACGTGCTGAGACTGCCAACAGACAGAACAGAAGCATGGAATAGAAAAGCAGTGGAAGCAGTAAAAGGACCAGAGGCAAGGGAGCGAGAGGCTTACCTGCTGTGGCAGCACCAATCCCCGACACTCTCCCTTGGCAAACAGCAGGGGCGCGTCAAACAGGGGTCAAGTGCTTGACCACCACAGCCAGATACCTCCCCAGCTAGGTTCGCTCCCCACCCATCCGCCCATAGGGCCACCAGCGCAGAGGCCCTGCTGGGGGGAGGGGACGGGGCAGACAGAAGGGCGATTAGGGGCAGGGAGAGGGGAAGTTGTCAAGTGAAAGAGTATATACTCGTTGCACAGGAGCAGATGGAAGATTCACCCCTGGCGTAGCAGCAGCTGTAGAACACAGACCATGGGATGGGCAAAGGAAGGGGCGCTAGTCAAGAATCTGGGGCTGAGGCTAGGCTGCAC